CCATCTCCTTTGGGAGAGCTCTGAGCACACACAGCTGCACGCACACACACACACACACGCGCGCATAAATAAATGCATACCGAGCCCTTATCAGCCATGCGTTTGCCCAGATGCGAGCAGAGAGCATTGCTGCTGCTGCTGCAGCCACTGAGCTGACAGGACTTACACAAGGAGGACCTAATTTAGAATAAAATTTTGTTAAAATATCTGGGGGTTTTGTTCATTCGCTTTGTAAGCTCGAGGATTTTTAGTGCATCTTTATATCAATCACATTCTGCTTGTGGAAGTGAACGCCATGGCTGAGAGCAGGGTGAGTTAGGTGTGATCCCCATTCAAAGAATTAATTAATCCTCCTTGTCCAACTTCCTACCCATTATACACACATATACACACAGTGAGCGACAGAAGGAGCTAGAAACTGCCTTGTCCACCGTGGGACTCCGGGCAATAGTGTGCCCTTCTCAGGGAGGGCATTAGCTGGGCAACTTGCCCACCACCTACCACACAGAGACAAGCCTGATCTGCTCCGGGTTGTGTCACCGTATTGGCGTGATGAGTCCCATAACGTTACGGAAGGGCACAGCAGAAGGACAAGAGGCATCCAACGTGGGCTGCAAGGAGGAAAACTCTGACTGGAAAGAATCCCTTACTGCAAAAGCAAGCAGGTGCCCGGAGCAGTGTCCTTGGAGAGGCTCGAAGTGACCCTGTGATTTCAGCCAGACTTACCACAAGAGGGCTGCCAGCGTTTTCTGGGCTGGTTACCCCAGAAAACGGGTACTGAGGAGGACCTACTTCGCACTGGTCTGTTAGAAAGCTCGGCCTCGCTTCTGGGCATCGAGTCTTTAAAAGTCGTGTTCCTGCTTTACTCTGTAGGCCAGAAAGTGAAGCGACCCAGTTTGGTGCACTGCAGAGCTGATTTGCTGTCAGGTATATGGAACAGCAGTCGGAAGAGAGAGCCTGCCATCTTTCCTGCGGCTTTCCTCGCTCTCCGGGGGCCTTTGCTCCCAGCCAAGAGCCCGGCGCACGTGGCTTCTGGGCTGAGCTCCCTGAGCTGGAGCTGGAGTGCCTGGCGGAGGTCTGGGTTACTGCTCGGGGCGCCCAGAGACATCTCTGGTGTGGAAAATGCAGTGGGAGCTTTCTCACATGAGGGTCTGGCACCTTTCTGTTGGGCTCAGGACCCCTGCTGCTGGGCATGGGGGGAAAGGGCTGCATCCCCAGGCAACAGGGCAGCCCAGTGCTCGTGTGGGACCAAAGCTGTGCGGTGGACAGTCTGCATGGGAGGAACCCAGCACCGGTCACATTGCCTGGTGTGAATTACTATGGCAATAACTGCTTTTAACAATTTCAGGTAATCTATGTTGCTCAAGCATGGCAGAGGACCACAGCTGGCAATTAAAGTACCATTATTTTTCCTCAGACCAGACACAGACTTGGCATAAACTCCCTTTCTTCATCTCTCTCAGCCTCATCTCACTCATCTCACCCAGTTAACAGCTCGAGGAACAGTGGAGAAGACACTGGTGCCAGGCCCAGGCTACAACTGATGTGGGCAGAGATTGGGTCCAAGAAGATGGGTGCAGAGAGCTGGGTTTCACTTAGGAAATTGGAGGGCTGTACCTGGGGACAGGACATTATCGGGGACAGTACCGGGGGTCACAGGTCACCTGGGGAGTCCTTCCCATACCCAGGCTCTGCCCCGAGGCTCCTGGCAGCGCAGCGTGGTGGGAGAGCCTTTCTGAGCCGAGTTTTTTGCCGGAGAGGTTATTTTGAGTAGCTCTGGGTGCCTTCGAGTGGCGTGTGTTGACACTGACCTCTAGTGGGAATTGATCCCCGTCTCTTCATTTTTTCCGTGCGATTTTAACCATTTTAAGTGACGCATCTTAAAGGGGACTGGAGAGGGCCCAGAATTAGAGTTTTGGTTTTAAAATTCTCAAAAGCAAGTCAGAACATCAAGATTGGCCTCATATTATATTTAAATGTTTTTACCCCCTCCACCACTACCTGCCAATACACGATATATGTTATACATAATATATATGCATAGGCATATGCATATGTATATGTATATGCATGTGCATATGTATATGTATATGTACATGCATAACTCTCTGTATTTAAAGCCTCTGAAAATAATGTAAAAAAAACCCGCATGGCCAGGCAGAAAAGCTCTCTGACAGGAAGACAGCACGAAACAGAGCCCAAGGGTTGCTGAATGAGTGACAGAAGGCAAATAACAAGGCAGAGTGGCCAAGTTCATCTTTCAGACGTGCCAGTCAAATTGTCCGAAGGCATAGTAGAAGCACAGCCAGCCAGAAGAGAGATGGGAAGGAGATGGTGCCTGAGCTGGGTATTAGTGGGTGTAGCTGGAAAGTCAGAGTGCAGAGTGGCTGGACCTGGGTACCTGGGTGGCATAGCTGGTTTTAATGGGGAGTGCCTGGTCTCCGCAGCTCAGCTGCAGCAGACCACTGCAACACAGCCCTGGGAGAGCACTAGCCAGCTCAAGAAAGTTCAAGGCTCACCTCAGGGAAGCTGCAAGATCACTAGCTCCAGCTAAGTGCACATTAGCAGCAGAGGAAGGCCACCTCCAGGGGCTGCTTGGCAGCCAGAGGTGTAGACAGCTTGCTGTGGACTCGACTGTAGAGTCCCAAGTGGTAGAGCTTGACTTGCCTCCCTGCAGAGCTGGTCCAAGGCTTATTAGCTCAGGCTCTGTGCTTTGGCTGAACCACTCCTGGACCTGTGCTAGCCCTGGAAGCAGGCTCCACACCTATGCCGCAACTGGAACAGGACATGGCAAGATAGTCAAGGGGTGACTGCCACTTGCTGCAAAGCGAAGCAGCAAGTAGTTCACAGAAAAGTGAAATCTTTGTGCATCACCACACAGGTTTGTGCTGATTTGACCAACATGGATTTCTCCCAATACCTGATTTCATCCATGCAAATGTCTATAAGAAATCATTCCATGATGGAGCTGTACCTCTAGCAACATCTAGCGTGTTACTAGAGAAAATGGCAAAGGCAAAATGGAAGGTATTTGATGGTAACCCGGTAAGAGCTGGGTACGGAAAGCTGAAAGTGTAGAAATTCTGGATGGGGGTCAGGAGTGCCAGCTGCAGATGCTGGGATGTAACCACCACGAGGGTGTGAGAGGGAGTGACATGAATACACGGCCCAGATCCCTGCCCTGCATTGGACAGAGCTGATAAGATGCAGGAGAAGCTCCTTTCCTTTAGCAACTGCGGTCTCGCAGCCAGGCAGCGCCAGGGGCACAACTGGAGATACTGAAACAGATCCTGCGCGTGGGAGGAAAACTTGTGACTGGAAGTTACTGATGCCAGCAGAGACTTCCCCTGCCTGCCTCCTGCCGCCCTCACACCCCAAAACCTTTCTTCCTGCCTGGTCGGAGGCACTTTTCGTGGGTAGCTTGCCTGCAGCCAGGCTGCGGTTAAAGGCCTGGCGGCCAGTGCTGGGGCCGTGACGCAAACCCGAGGCGGCAGCTGCAGCACGGGAGGGGGAAGTCATTGGCGCTTTGCATGCGGTTTGTGTGAACTCGGTCCCGTACCCACCACCAAGCTCTTCCCAGGTAAGCTCCCTTGCAGGCGTGTGGCACGAAGAGATCCTTCTCCTCCTGATGGGCTGAACTAGAAAGATGGGCACCCACACTGTGGCAGCGGAGAGGGAGCTTGGGACACTGGAAAGTAGTAGATGACGTCTACGCAGATCCATGAGGAATACAACTGGATAGTTTTGATGCTGGAAGGAGAGCACTGAAACGCAGCCTCGTCAATCATTCATAGGCAGAGAGCCGGGCCTTCGTTTGATCTTCTGTTTTCAACTTTGATCTGTGTGTCCTGGCTGCTCTCGTGTGAGCCCCGGCAGCCACTCTGGGCTTTGGGCTTTCTATTTGCAACACAGAAAGGCGCCGGGAAGCAGCCGGACCAAGGGACTTGTACAGCCAGCTGTAGTGACCTCCTGGCCTTTCCCTTTGTCTGTGCGGGCAGGAGAGACAAGAGGGTTTCTCAGTGGGTGAAATGGGTTAAAACCATGCACACAGGAAAAACAAATGTCTCGTTCGCACCTATCTCTGCTACCAGTAAGTGACATCCACCACATGGTTTCCCACAGAGCCTGCAGCTTCAGTGGGCACCTGCGCACGCAACAGCATCCTCACCCACGCACCGCCGCCGCCTGGTTTAACGCGGTCCCCCTCCCACCCCGCCAAACCTGCCTGCTGTTCAGAGAACCCCAACAAACAGGGCAGGGGAGGAGGCAGGTCCAGGACTCGCCGGCACCGACGGGGGAAGCGCAGCCTGGCCGCCTCCCCCGCGCACCCCAGGCCGCCGG